AAGACCCTTTCTTTCCTTTTTGTCATCCCTGCTTACCTCTGCAAGCTTGTGTCACACTTTGTACGTCTCTCGTTCCAGCCTTAACGCAGTCTTGGCCATTACTGTTGACTGGCCGCAGCCCAAACAAAGAGCCGCCCCATCTCCTCCCAAGCAGGAGAGGAGGGGCAGGGACAAACTGGTGGCCAGGAAGCATCAAAAGTTGGGTTGCAGAATCTCCTCATTGCTTCTCAGTAATCTCGTAGCCTTAGGGTGGGGAGGTATTGTTACAGGTCAGGAGGGGGACAGAGGGTGAGACTTAGAACCCACTTGTGGGTTGTTACGGCCCATCCCTGGGATATCCCAGGCATTGGTCATTTCCCATAATTGGCAGCTAGGATGGCACTGAATCTGATGAGTCATATAAGCGGCACCTGTCAGTGTGGTGGGTGAGGCCTGCAAACTTAGAATCTGCCCGATACATCAATTCCAAGCTCTTTGCTCCGGAGTAGGAATCAGGTAAAAGTGGATTCATCTGCTGTGGGCTGCGGCAAAAGCCCGTAAAAGGCATTCCCAAGAGAGTTTCCCCTACAAAGGGAGGCCCTGAAACGGTTTGAGCGTGCAGATTTTCTTTAACCTTCTTGCCTTTCTCCAGGCACCTCTTTCTCCTTTTCTCTTCCCTTGTTCTGACTGCCTTGCCTTCCCCAGCGGGCCTCCTTACCCTGTCACCGCTCAGAGGATGGTGGGCATACATGCCCAGTGTGCCCTGGGTACATGACGGGAGAGAGACCAAGCGGGCACAGTGGAAGAACGGGGCCTTTGCCCCTCTCAGCAGAGCAGTGCTGTGGGCCTTGACGGCGACAAGTTTTCTTCGCACGTGCCGTTTTCCCACCAGCTCTCTGCCCCGTGAGTGCTCGACACAGTTCTGGAGGAAGTGCCCAGAACAGGGGGGTTCCCAGCCAGCTTAGCCTCACGGTTTTGCTTCCCAACAAACACCACTTATCTCCAGGGGGGTAGGGAGGTACTTCAACCCCAACACGAGGGGGAAAGACATGCCACCTTCCTTCACTGGTTGCCCCACTTGTCACCCAGAAGGCTGTTTCCCAAGGTCTCTGAAAGGGAGAGTTTCTGTCACAAGAGATGCCGGGCTCTGTCTGCAAGTTGCCGTATTGGGCCTCTGGCTTTACTGGGACAGCCAGGCAATGCCTCTCCTACCCAAGAGTGTGGTTCTACATCTTGCCTCTACCTCCTCATTTCTACCTGTGCTTAGGGGACAGTAACTTCAGACAACTCAGCAGGCATGCTTAGCGTCTTCATCCCATATGAAACCTAGGGCCGGGGATGTGGGTAATTACAGGACTACCTGGAACGTCCAGATGCTGAGGTCAGGCTGAGGTTTCCACCTTGCTCGGCGAAACTATTCAGAGCCTTCCTCTGCCCAGAAAGATGACGGGAGGCTGTGAGCACGACATGCTGATTTCGTGGCTGGGACATTTCTACAGGAATGCAGGATGAGCTTTTGACAAAGTGGCCAAGAAACAAGGGAACCAGGTAGTTCTTAAGACCAAAGGTTTCAGCAGGGTATTAGGGTGAGAGCAGTAGAGGGGGATAATGTAAAATGCCACCACCATAGATTCATATTGCACATGGTACACACCCTGGATGGCGTATTGGGAGCATACATAGAACAGATACGTGCAGGTAGCACCCCCTATTGGTATACTATGTGGTTTGGTACATCAAACCGTTACTTGAGGTCTATGAAACTCTTAACTGGTCAGAAATGGGAAAAGTCATTCCATAATAGCATCCTTGAAGGAGAAGCTTCAGGAAACATCTACCATCTGCTAAACTTGGAGCCAAAGCAAAGCGGCTCCTTTATACACATATACATATACATACACATATACATAATATATATGTGTATATATATATATGATCTGTTTCGTTGTATTTCCCACAGATTAAGGTAGTTTCTGGAAAACAAGTCAAACCAATGATGAAAGAGTACAACCAGGAGACATTACGTCTTAGGTTGGCGTTCTCCTTGACAGAACTGTCCTTGGAATAAGAAGTTGCAGTTCACACTAGGTGACCTTCGATATATGTCGCCTAAAGCAAGGCTTGGTCTAGACGCCACGTTCCTGGAACTGGAAAGAATTGATGTGTTGCAACATCAGGTCTCGCGGCTAAACTGAGAAGGTTGGCCTTTGTCTGTAGCTTGACTATTTCAGAAGCACTTTGCCACCTCTATGGAAACAGCTTTATTCTGGCAGAGCTTGGGTGGTAGGAGGCAGCGTGCAGGGCCCTTAGAAGCTGGAATTACTAGATTGAGGGAACAGCCGCTTCCACAGGTGGTGTACTTGGTGGGGGCCAGTGTAAGGACCAAATCGGAAGGCACCCCACTCAGTGCAAGTCTCCCAGGGGTGCTCTGCATCTTTCCTTAGCAAGGTTAAAGTAGACTGGTTCTCTAGATGATGCTAAGAAGGTTGGTATAGGTTGTCTGGCGGGAAACCTCCATGCAGAGTCCAAGTCTTAGGCTGAGTGGAGACTGACGGAGAGCTGGTCTCAAGGCCTTCCCTTAGCAGAGCTCAGGGTCTCCTGGCTGAGCTGCAGCTCCCACACCACTCAGGCATCCCCCGTGCCCCCGCCCTCCCCCCAGCCTGTGTGGCGTGGCTCTGGTTTTCTCCCAGCAGCCTTTACTTCTCATCTTCATCCCCCTCACTCATGCTGCTGATGGAGGCTGAGGCGGCTTTGGGTGAGGAGGGGGGTGAGGTTTTGTTCGGGAGCCACGAGAAGGTGGGCGATGGGGAGCGTGAAGGGGACCGGCTCCTGGTGGGGCTGCTCACAGGGCTCTGCTTCGGGGACAAGGCCTGCAGCATCCGGCTACTCCTCTCCTGGAACATCTGCTTCTAGAGAGAGAAGGGAGAGAAGGCGTGTGTTAAAGGAGCCTTCTGAGGCGGTAGGGAAACAAACAAGGCAGGAAGGACAGCTGCTGCTCTAAATACCTGCACGCACAAACACAGGCTCGCATGACAGCCCGTGTTCCCCAGACTATCTCTGGGGAGGGGCTGAGTGAGATTCTGGGGCAGGAAGGTGCTGCCACATCAGATTATCCTCCCGGCTGGTTCTTGGGACTCATCCCTTCTTACCACCTTTTCCTCCATCTCCAAATCGAACTGCTATCTTATGTGCCAGGCAAATGGCAATGTCCTCGGTACTTCGAAGTGCAGCAGGAAATAAAACAAAAATCCCTATCCTCATGGATATGAGGGAGGAATCACACAATAAACAAAACATGAGGTGTGTCAGATGGACCTATGGTCTGAGAGAAAACTGCAACGAGAGAAGTTAGCAGATTGGGGTGTGGGCCGGGGAGACAGGTGGGCTGCAAAGGTCAGTAGGGCGCTCAGGGAAGGCCTCACTGAGAAGATGCTGTCTGAGCAGAGACCTGAAAGAGGTGAGGAGGGGACCACGTGAATGGCAATCGGGGGGAAGCACGTTCCAGACAGAACTCCGAGAAGGGAGCATGCAGTGCACGTCCCAGGACAAGCAAGGAGACCCTGGGGGCTGGAGTGGAGTTACCTGGGTGAGGGGGGGGGATGGGGGGAAGAAAAGGATAAAGTTGGTGGTCATATCGAAGCTGGGGCTTCAGTGACAGGCGGGAAGATGGGGTGGAGATGGGTGGTGAGCCCGTGGGGCTGCATGAGGACTGGCTTTCCAAACAGAAGGTGCTAAGTAGACAGGGCTAAGCATAACTGCTTGGCCTGACTGGACCCCAAGTGCCTATAGGGTGACAGTAGTTGAGGCTGGAGCACCAGGAGGAGGATGGATTTCTCCTGAGGAGCCCCTGGAAGATTTTAATCGAGAAGGGTATGGTAAGATTGGTGATGTAGAAATACCTTTGGGTATGAGCATAAAAGCAAAAAAAGAAACCATTAAAAAAAAAAAGACTGATGTTTGGCTGTATAGAAAATTTAAAACTTCTGTACCTAAAAAAAAAAAATACACTGAAATAAGGTACAAGGCAAATGAGAAAAAGGGGGAGGGCTTCCCTAGTGGCACAGTGGTTGAGAGTCCGCCTGCCGATGCAGGGAACACGGGTTCGTGCCCCGGTCCGGGAAGATCCCACATGCCGCGGAGCAGGCTGGGCCCGTGAGCCATGGCCGCTGAGCCTGCGCGTCCGGAGCCTGTGC